CCCCAAAACCCCAAAACCCCAAAACCCCTTAAAGTTATTTTATTCCTTAATAGGAAAATTAAAAATAAAAAAATGTTTAATTTATATAAGCAAAGATAATAGTCATTTGATGGCTCATAGTAGAAAAATCATATTCGAGTATAAGAACTAATTAATCGAAAAAGGAGCAACCTTGCAGTGTGATCGAGATAGAGATTCTAAAATTGGTTAGAAGATTAAGACCCATCAATAATGGATGTTATAACAAATGGTGCTTAAAACCTTAAACAAAACTAAGATGAGAATGCTTAAAATAAAAACCTTAATTAATCAAAGTAAAACTCATTAACAAGATATGCAGTTAGTTAATTTGATGAGTCAAAGTTATCTAGTTATTAAAGAGCTTAGCCTATTAATACGTCGAACATCTATGTTAGAAAGTACGAGCCAGAATGCATTCGATAGTATAAGCTCAGTAACTTGACTAAGGATATTTCAGACAGCTATAAAGGAAGTCCTACTTAGAATTACACGAATGCACTAAGAAGCAGGTAAAAAACTTCGGAGAGAAATAGTAGAATGACCTTTATCCAGCTAAATCATCTTCAGAAAGATACTTAGGAAATAGATAATACTTAGATGAGTACAAAGATGATACATAACCCTGATTTTAGATTTGGATCTGCTGGTTCTAGTAAAAGCAGATTTGTCAAAGCAAATGGTGTAGAAGATGAGCAATCAAGTAATATATCAAAATAAATAAGAAACTTATTAGTTAATAAGCCAAATCATGATAACAAGTCAGTGATTGTAAATGAAGCATATGTCGGAGGACTTCATGAAATAGGATTGAGAGAGTTTTCTAGAAACAATAATAAATCTATAGATGATAAAAAGATATTCTCTGTGGGTACATCTAAAGTAAACACAGTTATGTCCATAGATTAATCTAAATGTAATACCCTTAGAGCACAGGAAAACAAAATCCTAGAGGGTGATATCAGCAATCATAATTAAAATGTACTTCCATATCAGCAAATGCAGCCAGGTTTAAGAAAAACAGATTCATATAAAACAGATAATTTCATGGTGGATAATAAAATTTCTTCCTAATTTTAGACTCCTGTACTAAACAGAAATATGTATAGCTATGATCCCAAGCTAAAACATAATAATAGCCTTAATAAAACATAACTGAATTTTGAATCTCCTTACTTAATTAAGAATAGCTCATAGATGACTCCATAAAAGAAAAGCAAAATTAACAACTAAAGCATGATCAATATTGATAATGATCGCAGGAATTAGCCAAGTACAGAATAATCCCCAAAAAAGAAATATATGAAGAGCATGGAAAGTACTCAAACTTATTAAGAATCTAAAAAAGAGAAGAGGTAGGGGATCAATTAATCTGTCATAGATATCTCTTAGAATCATAACTCATCATAGTTAAAAAAGATACTAGGGAAAATGAGTATTGAAAATCAAGCAAAGTTAGACAATATCTCCAAATTGATTGGCCACAGTGGAGGATTCAGTGGCTTTAAGAATTAAAGAATTGAAAACTTAAAATCCAAGGATCTTATCAAGATCAATAACCATTTAATGAGGCAAATGTCTCCCAACTCAAGAAATATCTAGCCTAAGGCAGATTGAAAAATAAATTTTAATGAATTTATGCCTATAAACTTAAAGATGATTTCATAATTGCCATAACTCACTTAATTATTTGACTACGGGGTTTTGGGGTTTTGGGGTTTTGGGG